TCTGCTTGTTTTTTGGTTCTGATTATTTTTGTTACTTTTTATAAATAATATCCAGTGATTTTTTTTTCTGTTAAATTTTCATACCTGTTTATACTCTTACTTTTTCTTTCACTTGTGTTAGCTTTACTTTGTTCAAACACAGTTCCATTCTTGGTATTTTATAGCTTCACACCTTAAGTTTTGATAAAGATTAAAATAAATCTCTGTGGTTAGCTCTGTGCATGTGAAACAGCCATGAACTTCTAATGAATCCTCACTTCATTTTTATTAACTTCCTAATAGCTTCTTGATTAAAACATGGTGCCTTTTTAAAAGATTAGGCATAAACTTTATTTCTATTTTTGTTTATTTTCATGTTTAAGTCATCAAGCAAAAGGTTTTTAGTATTCTGTGCTAGGGCACACTTTATACACATCTCATAGTGCTTTCCTACATGATAAAAGCAACAACTGATAAACCAGCAACATAAAACAAAATAACAAACAAAACAACACAGGTAAAAAGAAAGGATAAGATGATAAAGATATGTTTAGCTATGGAGGAATAAGACTATCTTCCTTTGCTTTTATTATGCTTTTGATTTTCTTCTATTTTATTGTTTAATTCGTTAAAAGCACTTTGAATTGTCCTTATATTGAATTGTGCTACAAATAAACTTGGAGAGCATCTGAAAAAGAAAAACAGCTATTTCAAATTTAACATTTGGATCAGACAATTAGAAATCCAATTTGAAAGGCGGCTTCTAACTGTGCATTTTGAATTCAATTATCAAAGAGGAATCATAAATTGTATTCATAAGGCCAATATCAAATACTACACTATGAAAAAGGTATATTCATATCATATTTCTAAATGGATGTTTAAATATCTTTTCTAATTACACAGTGAAAAAGCTAATACCATTTCAGTTTCCTTTTTCCAGACTGAGTTTTTATTTTATTTTATTTACCCTTTCCATTTACCTTTTCCAAAACTGTTCTAGTGCCTGAGCACACTGAAAACAAGTTAAACCAATCACAGTTGCTCCTCAGATGTAACCAGCTCTGTCATTGGTCAAAAAACAAGTTTGGCATTCTAAGCAAGCTAACCGAGGAAATGGATAAAGATTCTACGAAACGCGGTATGAGTGAGGGAGTGTTAAAAAAAATCACAGATTTTAAAAAGAACAACAACAATAATAATAATAATAATAATAATAATAATAATAATAATAATAATAATAATAATAATAAAACGACAATATTACTAGAACAAAAACACATCTCTAATGATATGCAATACTTGATTTCTATGCTGACCTAAAAAGGTTTTGACCTACGGTAACCATGGTAAGCTATCATTAATGCCAAGAATCAGCATGGCCATCACTAAATATAGGATCTAGGAATTTCATCTTACTGGATGAGTAAAAAAAAAACAAGATAAGCTAAGTAGACTGCATATGTTAATTTTATAACTCAATTCAGTTTATTTCTATACGAGCAACACATGTCACCTGAAAGCAGTTTATAGAGACAGTTCGATCAGATCATGCAGTCAGATTGGTTGAACGTTTTCTATCTAACGAAACTCAGCTGATTGCATCAAGTCATTGGCTTTACATCAATTACTATAAGCTTATGGTAACTTAGAAATCCTGGAACAGTTGTTATACACATTAGCCTTGATTTTATTTGTTTAGAAAACACTTTCTGTTTTCCTTGACCTTTGTCCATCTCATTTAAGATAGAGTAAGCTTTGCCCATTTTTTTTTATTCTTATGTTTTAGGAAAGTCTGCACATTCCTGTCAAATTAAGTTCAATCCTCCAAAGGTTTTTGTTGAATATGGAGGTTCTGCTTTAGCCAGCTGCCACGTGTCGCAGTGCAACCATGTGGCCGGGATGGGATGGGAGTCTACATTTGGAGGAACAGGACTTAAAGAGGGTATATCTACTTTGAATACTACCTTTGACAAAGTTAACGACTGGAATGTAGAACCCAGGTGTTTTGTTTCGTTTCTGAATGATGAACAGAACATTCAAAAGCTACCATTCACCGTTTACAGTAAGTTGCTTATATAACATTTACAAAAAAGCCAATCATAATCTATATTTACATTTCAGAATTAATTAATGAGTTTTCTAATTAGGTTTTTGTTTTGTTTATCACTTTCTGCTTCAGAATTGCCAGACAAAGTATCCATGTCTAAGCCCAAAGACCCTATGAGAGCCAATTATAGCTATGATCTACAGTGTGACGTTAAAGATGTTGCACCAGCAAACAGCCTCATCATAAGCTGGTACAAAGGAAATAAGATGATCCATGAACAGAAATCTACACGTCAAGATCGTTCACCTGTAGATGAAACCTTTACCACAACACTAAAGGTTGCTGTAGAGGATAATGGAGAAGAGGTCTGGTGTGAAGCCAGGCTAAAGTTTGTTCCAGAAGAGCAAAGTCCTCCACCGAAGCGATCAGAGGCGCACGTATTGACAGTTTTTTGTAGGTTTGAACGATCTCTTGATTTGTAAATAAGAGGATTTTAATTTCAAGCTGATTGTCCATTAACATTTTATTTTTTCCCTCTCCTTCTTTCTATGATTTCATGCTTATCATCAGATCCTCCATGTTTCATTAAGCCTCAAAGTGAGATGCTGAGCATTTGCACTAGTTCAAAATCATCATTAAACTGCACAGCTATAGGAAACCCTACCCCAGTTTACAGCTGGACGTTTACAGGCACAACTCAGGAGGGAATCCAGGAGAAAAATGAGACAGGCCCAGTTTTAACTCTGGAATCTCAACTCCCAGGAGTCTACAGCTGCACAGCCACGAACGCTGTGGGCAAAACAACCAAATATTTCCACCTCATTACTGTTCAAGGTAATAATATATCCTAACAGAAACTATTGTTATATTTTGAAGTGTCTGGTTTATGAAATACAGATAAACTCATGTGATGTGATGAGCTGAAAGGCGAAAATAAAATCTTTTATCTTCAGCAGGAAATTGGAGCTACTTCCCAAAATTAAGGATAACACTGGTGTGCCTGTTTACCCTGATCTTTGTAGGTATTCTTGTTTTTGTGGTACGTAAAAAAGGATTTTCTTTCACAAAAGTAAAGCCAACCTTATCAGAACCTATTAGTATGACTGATTTATGACTAATTTTTCTTTTGCATTCACTGCTTGTCTGGCTCTGGAGTGATCTGTAAGATCCACTATTGATTGACTTTATTGATCTCACAGTGGAGAAATTTGTTACATCAGCTCTCAGCTTAATAGTCAAAAAAAGAAGAAGGTGACAAAAGGAGGAAAAGGTGCATGGGTGGGGGGTAGATACAGTGGGGGGTGGGGGGGGGGGGGGGTGTTATTGAAAACTGTGGTATATCTGATAAACTTACCTCCTTTGGTATTTCCAATCAAATGTATGAACGGCATGAACCACCTACTTTAAGATGTTAAAGAGGTTGCACTTTGCAATCTCTGAGCATTTAACTTCTGAGTTTAAGTTATATTTTTTTTGTGTTCAGTCAAAATACAAAACCTGAAAAGAAAAGAAAAAATATTTTTAATGCAAAGAAAATCACAAACAGTGCTGTTTTCTGACATTGCACCTTTTTGTAATTCAGCTAAGGCCTTTTCTCTTTTCTTCTAAGTATTTGCAAATAACCATGGAACTCCGTGTAAACGGAAAGGTGGGGCAGCACTTTAATCAGCATGATCAGCATAAAAATTAGATTTTTTTCTGTGCTCATTTAGGAAGTCCCCACAAGTTTTGTCTCCTTGCATTTTAGATGTTCTATATACCAGCTTCAGATTCTGTCCCACCCTTAAACCTATCCTCTGTTTTATCAGCGTTGCCTTTCAAAGCCAAAACAAAGCAGACTGTAACTGCTATATCTATGAGGACCATTATGATGTATCATATACCTATGCCATTAGGTCAACCACTTAATATCTTTTCCAGGGTCAAGTTAGTTGTTTATATGGTGTTTTTTTTTTTTTTTTTCGTTTTTTTTAAATGGCTTCAATTACGTTTTTTTTTAAAGGGTATGCCTTTTGCTGGTCTTTTGGACTATGCACCGATCCTATTGTAAATACAGAAAAGATTAATGGCTGATGAAAAACTTTGTATGTTCTCATGTTCTTTATTTTTAATCAGCTTGAACTTTTTTTGCACAAGAATTGCTTGTTAATTTTTAAATTTTATGTTGGTTTTGCTGTTGTTATAGCAAGTCTAATTATAGCTGCAACACGTTATGTTACTCAGAGCACAACCACATACAATAGTAATATGTTTCAATATATATAGCATATGAGCTATTGAATGGACTGTAAAATGACTTTGCAATTTGCCAATATAGACACAGCATGTAATTTCTGTTGCATGAGGTTAATATTATTAATGTTGTTTTTTTTAATGAAAAAAGTATTGACATGTCAACAAAACACAGTTATGTGTTATGTTATGTGAATGCTTAAAATAACTGAAAACTGAGCTGTAATCCAAAAGGTTAACACATTACAAAACGACTTTCTGTGTCAGTGATCTCCTCAAGCAGAATACTGATCGAGGCAAAGTCAAAACAGCATCTGTGTTTCCTCGTCCCCCCCTTTGTTAGTCCCTTTGACCCCTCTCTCCTCCTCTTTCAGAGAGCCTTACATCGACATCCACAGCATTCACACTAACATACTAATTGGACCCTAACAAAGTAAATGTAAAGAATGTGTAATCTTGTCTGCATTGCTAGAATAAATATTTTTTTCCCCTAAAACTGTGTCTTTTTAGTTATTTTACTGTCATTTCAGACTGGAATTCTGCTGAAAAAGTGGGTCAGCTGTTTTGTTTATGCTGCTCTGGTGCTGCCATAACAACCTACCAGACGCGATACAGCTCAGTGATTCAAAGAGTAAAAAGATAAAGGTTTTACTGTGGAAGTGCTTATTGTGAAAACATGTCAAAGCATATGTAAAGCTCCACGTAGTGTGAGCATGTAAACTGTTGCATGTTAGGTTCCCCAGCTGCCCTCTAAATAAATACAAAAAAGAATCTGTTTTATTTTACTCTGCTGCTCCACAGTTACAGTCAGAGCTGCTATTCTGTGTAGCATTCTGGTCACAGTGTGAGTCTTAAAAGCTTGAATGCTGCAGGAGAGCAGCTCTCCTGCCTGCTGGGGTTTAACAAAGCATGAAGGCCTGAGGCAGCCTCAGACAAGTGTACAAGAGGAACAGAGAACAAGCTATTCTGAACAAGCCTTCATAATTAGACACTTAAATAGGTGCTGTTTCAACACTTTGTATAACGAGAAGTCCTAAAGAAGTGGGCTTCAAAATTTAAATGAGGGGAAGGAAGTTCACTGACTTTTATGTTTATTTTTAAATTCCTACATAACTTATGATGTGTAGGCACAGCTGTAGACATATGGGTTGGGTATCTTTTTGCACATCTAAAGATGTATTTGTGAGATTTTAATTCCTGTTGAAAAAAATAATGGGTCACTTTAACTTTCCCACTCTTCCTCTTCACTTTTCCCCCTTTTTACCCCCTCCTCTCTGTAAAGTCAGCTGGGAGGGATCTCTGCTTTGTTCCAGCATAGTTCCCTGTAGAGTTGCCAGGGTTGTTCAAGTTGGAATTTTCTGCCCATCGACTGCTAGTGAAGAATAAAACAATTATCATGGGAAACAACTTTCTTGTTTGGATTCTGATATTTTGCTTGCTTCATTCAGGTAAGAAGTGGGGAATAGCTTGTTTATTGTCTTTGTTATGGGACGTAGATGATGTGCAGGTTAGATGTAAAAGTGATGTGATGATAAATGAACAGCTTGGATTAACAGACTGATACATTTTTCTGATGGTGGGATTATTCCAAACTAGTAAATGTAAATTAAACATTTTGAATTATTTAAACAAACAGTTGTTTGCATTAGATTTGGGTTTAAATCCATTCTTCTGGACTCTCCTTTCCATGCTAGGTTTTATTCAGAGTGCTGTAAACAGTGTTTCCATGTGAAAGTTTTTTTTTCTGTTTTTATTTTTTAAACATAGATGTTTGATATTGAGCGGCTGCATGGTGGTGCAGTGGGTAGCACCACTGCCTTTCTGCAAGAAGGTTCCAGATTTGAGTCCCAGCCCGAGGTCTTTCTACATGGAGTTTGCATGTTCTCCCTGTGCATGCGTGGGTTCTCTCTGGGTACTCCGGCTTCCTCCCACAGTCCAAAAATATGACAGTTAGGTTAATGGCTTCTCTAAATTCTCCTTAGGTGTGAATGTGTGTGTGTGAATGGTTGTTTGTCCTGTTAGTCTCTGTGTTGCCTGGCGATAGACTGGCAACCTGTCCAAGGTGTACCCCGCCTCTCGTCTGTGGACAGCTGGAAATAGGCACCAGCACCACTTGCGACCCCAGCAGGGATAAGCGTGATGCAAAAATGGATGGATGGATGGCCTCACTTGTGCTACTGTTAGCGCCACTCTCAAAAAGTGTTTCCACTTGCTTGCTATGGGTCTCTTAAAAATTTTGGAAATATTTCTATTTTTACTTGCAGAATTGTTTTAATTGAGACTCTTTGAAATGTTTTGAGAAAAAAAAGCCTTCCTAAGGTAATCCCACTGCATCTCAATTGAATGTAAGTCAAGTCTTTGACTAGGCCACACTACAACCCCCTTTGTTTTCAAAAATGTATTTATGATTAAACATGGGGTACAATGTAATGTCAATGCAATAGTTATATAGTTAATAAAACCTCCTTTTTAGAAGGACTTTGGAGGCAGAGCTGCTGAGGTGCTTCTGATCATTAATGCAGCATTAGCACAGTTTTATGTTTGAATAGAGCAGCTCATCCAGGTCCATCTAACTAACCCCACCAAATGAGGCAATCAAGGCCTTCTGAGCTTCAGATGCTGTTCTGGTTTATTTTGTTACCTCCAAGTTATGGATGAGCTGTTGGAGTCATTATTGTAGCGTATAATTTCTTGGGGAGATTTACCTATGTTCACTCGATCATTTATTTGACAATTATCAGGGTCCACATTCTTAGAAATTGTCCTGTGATGCTTTCCAGACTGCTAGACATCCCTGAGTTTGTTTCTCATCAGTCTCTCCACTTTTTTTGGTTTTGTTTCTGTTTGAAGTATTTTACTCTACCTTATGTTGTAAAACAAGTTCTGTTATAGTGGTATCTTTATCCTGGCAGTTATCAGAATCAAATGTGGCCTTTCTTTCAAAAACAATGTGCTTAGTAACAGTTATTTAATGATTCATAGGTAGATAGATTGTCTTGGATATATTTTATTCCCTTATTAATTAAGTCATAAAAAACTGCTAGTGAGATTAATTTTGGCTATTCATGTGTACTAACAAGAGATTGCCTTCAGTATGATATTATAAAATGAACCAAAGTCTATTGTTTCATGACTTTGAACTATAATAATGGATCTGATCTTGTATTTCAGGGATGAATTGCTTGTTTTGTAAAGGGCTTTGACTCAATAATAAATTAAATGAAACTAATTCATATACTAAATTATGTTTGATGTCCTGACATGATTAGTTGTGAAAAAAAAGAAGAAAACTGGAAAGGGTCAACCCTTTTTCTCAGTACTTATTTGCTTAAATTGTCACAAAGTTAAATCAATTCTAAATATAGAATACGGACTGATTTTCTCTGCATCTGATGGTGCCTGCTGCTGTCTTCCTCAGTGTCAGGAGAAGGCTGTTCCCTCATCCTCAAGCCGTCGCGGGTTGTGTTGGGCTTTGGGGAGTCGGTATCAGTCAGCTGTGAAGCTGCACGGCCGGTTCGTGTCCTGGGCTGGGAATCAGCCATCAGTGCAGTGCACACGCAGGAGGACCGATCTGTCCAGTGGAAGGTAGACAGTCTGATTGACTGGATAGAGGAGCCCATCTGCTATGGAGTTTTTTTCACAGCTCCGAGACAATGTGAGGAGAAACTCAACCTTGTCCTCTACAGTAAGTTAGCTCCAAATCAAAACATGTGTTAGAAACTTAAATATTTTTTTTTCCTAAATCCATATATTATTTTTTTGTAGAAACTCCAGACAGCATCTCGATCAGACAGGCAAACCACAGTGGCCCCATGGTGGAAGGGAAAGAGTACCAGCTGCTTTGTGAAGTTCAGAACATTGCTCCTGTTCAGTACCTCACACTGAGGTGGTACCGAGGCCAGACTGAGGTTTATCAGCATTCTTTCTCTGATCTAACATCTTCTTCACCCGTCCAAGTTTCCTCTACCCTTGTCATCACTCCAACAAAAGCTGAGAATGATGCAGAGTATAAGTGTGTAGCAGAGCTGGAGCTTGGACCAGAGGGACCACAGCCCCCTCCTACTCTGGCCTCAGAGCCTCTCACCGTGTCCATATACTGTGAGTCATGAATACAGCCACAGCTTCTGAGAACACTGGGAAGCTTTACCAGCATAGAGCAACACAAGCTAGAGCAGAGTAATGTGGAAATAAAATGATATTGTTTTGTCATAGAAGATGAATTTTAAAATCTTGTCACAGCTTCTCAAATAGATTTAGGTCTGACCTTTATCTAGGCTGTTCTAGCTCTAAATATGCCTTTAAATCACGGTCTACAGCCTTAACAATCTATAGAGCCATTTTAAAATGGTCCAGCTAAATTAAACTCATTTAGAGATGCAAATTTTACATGAAATTTTGGAGAAAAAAAATAGCACTTTAGTAAATATGTTAATATTTGTAGGTTTTCTAATAGAATTTTTTTTTTTTTTTCAAAGGCTGTCATATATATATTTTGTTAAAAATAGTGAAAAACATAGATATATCTTTAAAATATATACTACAATTATTGGTACTTTGGTTTGTTCCATTATTCCATAAAAATAAAAACCTCAATTATAAGCTGCTTAAACCAGCAGATCGTTGTCATTTTACCCCAGGCTATCCAACGACCAGTCTCCACCAACCATAGTGTTAGTCTGGAGGCTACAGGGGTCCTTAACAATGTCTTATGATCAAATATACAAACAGGTTTTCTTATGAACATATTCTGACCACTTTTTAAAGCAGAACTCAGCTGAAGGTTGCCCTATGGACTTTCTTTGCTAAATGGTTGACTTCAGCTGGCTATATCCTGGATTAGATTGTATTAAAAGGTGTCAAAAATAAAGGGCAAGTGAATACAAATAGATAACACACTTTTCTGTTTTTTTAATTTTTGTAGAACTGCAACAAAACATGTATGATTTTCTTTCTGCATTACATATATTTTGTGTTGGTCCACCATATTATTCAAATGCAGATATTTCTTAACTGATATGTGATAAAATGTGAAAAAGTTCTAACATCTTGAATACTTTATTATGGTATTATATGTATGGATAAGTAATCACTGTTTTTTTTTTTTTTACATTTTACTTTTAAGTTCCACCAACACTTCTGAGCCCAGAAACAGAGGTTTTAGACTTTACAGCTGGAGAAGAAATCACCCTAAATTGCACAGCCACAGGAAACCCTACGCCTGTATACAGCTGGCAATCATCCCATCCTATAGAGGAGAGATTGAAGGAGAACGCAGTTATCACTTCCACCTCTCTACTCCCAGGCACCTACACATGCACTGCCTCTAACACTCTGGAAAAAAAGAGCAAGCAGTTCATTATCAAAGAAAAGATCAAAGGTAGAGGGAAGACATATGTGTTGCTGTAGCTATTAAAATGCCCCAAACTCTGCATCCTAATCCTCAAATTTCCTTTTGCTTTTCTCAGGTGTTTGAAGCTTGCTTATCTTGGGATGGATGAGTTGGCCTGCTGTCTGACTTAAGGGGAAAATTGCACCGCATTGCTTTTACTGTTGACGCTTTGAGAATGATGACAAATTGATGATTCAGTGAGTGTTGATGAGGATCATGTTACCATTCCTAGTTAGATATCATAGAAGAAAAACTGCTATGTTTGGTAACTTGTCATTTAATATATATTTGTGTAGATTTAGGATAGATTTCATATTTTAGGATTCACATGTTATATTTGTTGTGTAATTTATATTTCGGCTAGTCTTATTTACCTACTAATGTAATCAAGTCCTGTAACATTTCAAAAACACAGCTACTACTGGCACAGCAACAGATAGCAGCACGGAGATACTGTAAATATGAGTTGTTTCTTGATTGTATTATCTTTATCAAAAGATGTTCAATAAAAAGAAGGTTTTTACTGACTGTCTCGTTTTTTGTTGTTTTTTTTATCAATGATGACTTGGCTTTTGTTAGATTACTAATGTCAGTCGGGTTCTGTAAAAAAAAAAAAAAAGAAGTTTAATAAAACATATAGTGCTTTCAAATACAAGCCCTTTCAATTATTGTTTCTATTTCATTTATGTCAAAACTTAAGCTAAACAATCTATCCAGATGACTCATTAGTAAAGTCTCCAATTTCACACATCTGCTGAGTAAAAGTGAAACTTTAAAACAGAAACTCATATAGTGAGCTAATAATAAGTACTAATATAATTATTATTTTAAGGCTTTGCCAAATTCTTTTCTTAAAGCTACAGTGTGTAACTTTTAGCGACATCTAGCGGTCAGACTGCAGCAACATGAACATCTCCCCCCCACCGCTTCCCCCCCCCAACAGTACGGCGAGCGTTAGGGGACAAAATGTCTTCCACGACATCCGCATCACCTACCTTCTCAAGTGATGAG